TAAAAGAAAAAGAGAAACAGGTTCTCACATTTTACAGGGATGTCATACATAACTTTTAGTAATAGTTCAGTTGATTTACCATAAGTGTGTCTATAACTTCTTGACCCTTTTAGGTTCACCGAGAGCATTTGCACCAAACACAGATCCCTTGGGTAGGATATAAATAAGGGAATACGATCAAAAAGACATTATAATGATATGGGAGGAAGAATTTAAAATGGCTAGAAAGAAAAGAGGGAGAAAATAGCGTGTGTGCGCGTGTGTGTGCACACGTGTGTGTATATACACGCATATAAGAGGGAGATTCAGAAAATGGAGGGCGGAAGTGTAAGAGATGCCTAAACAATAGGAAATAGTGACAACGGAGACTTGAGACTTGGGAGGAAGAATATCGGTGCCTATTTGGATCAACATGGAGGATGCCCACCTATCTTCGCACCTTCCATGCACTGATACCTTGTTGAGTTATTTGATTTAATGGCTGACAAGATGACAGGGATAAGTATAAACACCGTTGTGAATACGTGAAAGGGATACAAATAAGCAAAATAAAAAGAAACTATAGGACAGGGACGGTAGGCACGTTTGGGGCGCTTAGGCTCGTCCCCTACAGGCCTCTGACGCGGAAAGGAGAGGAGAAAAGGAAAAACTGGGCAAACCAACCCCCCCCCCCCCCCCCCCCCCCCCCCCGATCTGGCGGCGCTTCCGAGACCTTCCCTGCGCAGCGTCAGGGGATCGTGGCCGGTCCCTTCCCCGGATCCTGCCTTGCCCTCCACTGGATGGGGGGGGGGTCTCAGGCAGCGCCCCCGGGGGGAGGGGGGGCAGGACCGCCGCCCGCCAGCCGGGAAACGAAACCGAAAGCGCCGACGGCCCTTCGGCTCCACTGCGCAGGCGCCCCGGATGAAGCTGCCTTCCTCCCAGTCCGCTGCCCGAAGAGGAGCTTCGCAGGTGAGGTCACCTTCCCCCCCCCCAGAAGTGACGCCCCCCACGCGAAAGGCCCCAAGCGGGGGGGGGGGCTTGAGGCGAGGCTCCTGCTCTTCTCGAGGGGGGGCCGGGGGGCCTTTGGGGCGAACCGAGGAAGACCCTCCGAGACCCCCCCCCCCGCCCGGGCTGAGCTGGAGGATCTTTCGGGCTCCCAAAGCTTTTTCGCGTTGAACTCTGTCCATGCCCCTTTGGGAGGCCAGCGGGGTTGGCGGAGGTCTCCCTCTTCCTCCGATCCTTCCCAGAATCCCCCCGGCCGCTTCCCAGCCTCCCTTCGGGGCTTCCTGGCCTTTTACCGGCTCCGGATCGAGTCCTTTGGGTCCTCCATCTCTTCCTTGGCATTCCCTCCCTCCTCTTACTCTCTAAGAAATGTATCCCATTGGCTGTCAGGCTCCCAGGGGCGGGGCCTTAGCTGGACCACACCTGGCCTCACCTGAGGCAGTCTTGCCAGGTGGGGAGATGGGCCGTCCCCTCCTGTCCGGGGCTTCATCCCATCCCCCTGGAGCTGAAAGAGGGACAGGGAAGCCGGTTTGTCTCTCCAACCAGTTTCTCCTTTTCCTCCTCCAGGGAAAGATCACATTCTGCCTTTTGAAGATTTCCTTCCACTAGGAGAGGGGTGTGTGTGCTCACTTTCTACCAATACATCCTTCTATTCGCCATGTTCAAATATCCTCATTGCCTGGTACAAGTGGATAACAAAATATTTAATTCCTTAAAAAAAATATGAATCCGTCTCCAATTCCCTTCATCTTGTATTCTTGGGCTCACCATGTTTACAATACACCTTTAGATACTCCTGTGGTCTTTGGAGCTGCCATTCCCATTTAAACGTTCAAAAACTCCATCTTAATTTATATTATCCCCTATTATGTTCCCCCAATATTACACTTGCCGCGATTGCTTATATTTTATTTTCTATAGGTTCCCTTCCCTCTAGCCTCTCATTTTAACACAAGTATATCTTCTCTTAGCCAATACATTCAAACTTATAATATCATTACCTCATTATCTTATATACATGAATAACAAAACAGATAGTTAATTAAAAATATTACCCTACTATATAGTTATATCTATTCCCAGTCAGGCTCCGCATAACCTTTTGTTAGGAGAATGAGCGCACACAGGGAGACGGAATGAGAGCGGTGAAGAATAACACACACACAGCACACAGCTTATTATTCCAGTTGTCCACTAGCCAGATAATTTTATTTTATCTGAACCAGTGTCTCTTCTGTGTTTTAAAATATCGACATCCTCAAATCTTTATTTCCAATGTTGATCAGTCCAAAACACCAAGAATTCCAGAGATGGTATCCTCCTATATCCTTACTCTTTGATTACAATATATTCCAACGTCCAGGGGTCTTATTATAACAGCTTTCTTTTATTCCTTCTTTAATTTCTCTTTTTAATAATGTCGTTAGTTTGAAGGGATCTACAGGATTTTTCTTTCATCAGCAAGTGGCGCTTTTAATCCAGTTTCACAGCCACCCTTTTTCCGTTTCTTTATTTAGCTTTACCGATTTCAAAAACCAAATATGACTCCTCTTTAGAACAATTACTTCCAGCATTCAGATTAATGCCTTTTAATGCCAAATCCTGCCTGATTGCCAATTCCAAATTAATGTTCTTCTAGATTAGTTCCTTTTCAAATTTTAAGTTTTTAAAAAAACTTTAAAACTCTTTATATTTCCAAATTCTTCTATCCGCCGCTAGCACATTTTTTTTATTTTTCCCTGTTATAGTTTTTGGGGTAGTTACAAATAATATAGATTCTTTTTTTTTTTGAAAATTTTATTGATTTTTAAGAACAAACATACACAAACAAAACCTAAAACATAAAAACACAAGACATCTTTTTTGAAAGCAGCTTGATTCTGGGTTACATCTCTTCGTACAGACACAAATTCAAGTTCATGCTCATTTTTATATACCATTCCATATCTCATTACCATTCTACATTTTCTATATAGCTTCTCCCCTCTTTTGACTTTCTTAATTTTATTTTATTTATTTCATCTCGATTCAAATCATTATACTTATATTCTTTGTCCTGTTTCAGCTGTCTAGTATCTTTTCTCATTAAACAAAATTTCCCCTGTACACTGATTGGAGTATGACGCCTTTGTATCTTTCCCGTAAAATTATAACACTTAATATAATACATAACTTCCATTCGGATTCTGCTTGGTACATTCTAAAACTACACTATTTTTAAAAAAAATAAAATTATGAATATATAATTAAAACAACAATCCATACCAATTCAATTCTATCATTAATATTAATATTTATTTAAATCTTAAACATTTTACACATTACTTTTCAAATAAATATCATACTTCTATGGGAACACTTATCAACTTTCCATAATCCCTTCCCACCTACTTCACTTATATTTTATAAAACATTGAGTAATTAAAATGTTCCCATTCCTTCCTAATTCAATTCTCTCATTTATTTCATTTCATTTATTTTGTTCACAAAAATTTCACTGAATTACACTGACTATTTTATCCCACTTTTTAATCGTATGTTGTTTCCAATTTTCTAACTTTATTTCTAATACAAATATAACAAGACAAGACAATCTTATGTACCTTTACAGAATCCCTTTTTCAGTTAAATTTTCACCCATCTCTGAATAAGTCCTGTTTCTTTACATCTTCCTCCAAACCTTTGTAACTTCTCTTCCCTTCCTTCTTCCCTTTCTCCTTCTCTCTCCCCCTTTTACCCCCTTGTCTCTCCACCTCCGTTTCCCTCTTCTGTATTCCCCTTTTCTGTTGCTTTCCAACATTATATCCACTTTTCACATTATTTTTCCCTTTTTTGGCTGTTTTTTTTAAGTCTTAAATTCCTTTCTTCCCCAGATAAAGTTACTTGTTCATGAAAGATGGCTTCTTCTTTGTCCCAATCTTCTTGTTGCGCAGTCTTTTCTTGTAGTTTCTCATAGGTAGAAATCGCCATTTCTAAAAATTGAAAAACAGAGCCAAGAGAGCCCTTCCCTTCTCGTGCCTCTTCTTTATATTTCTTAAATTCCATTTTCAGTTTATCCACAAGTGATGCCATTGGAGAGGTCATTCAAATATCCAGAAGTCCCAAAGTCACCAAGCAATCCAAATACACACAAGCTATTTCTTTTAACACTTTCTTCTTTTTTTCACTTTCTCTTCCTGGGGTTACTATTTAGTTGCAAAGTTCCAGTTAAAATGTATTTTTAGAAGTCTTATTGAGATTTATCTTTAGATTCTTTTGAGTTCCAGGCAGACTCCTCCTTAAATCCTGCCCTTATTATTTTCCTCTCCCTTCCCACTTATAGCAAAAAAATAATAATTTTTTTTTAGTATTCAGTATTCAATCTTTATTGTCCCCTTGGCTTTTAATTATATTATCAGTTTAATTATCTATTGGTGCCAAAGCGGGTTTTCCAGATTTCTCATTCATCTGTCTTCGCTGTCAACGTAAGGAAGGAGAGTGAAAAAAATAAACTTTCCCTTTTCACTTTCATTCGCTGCTTCCGAGTCTTCTTTGGGAGTGATGTAGCTTTTGTAAAATTTAAATTCCAGGATACCTTAGTTGTTGCTTCTTATCCCGGTCAGCCAAAACACTTCCTCCTGCACTTTCTTTTCCGGCTGAGTGCTTCTTTGAGGCGGCCATTTCTGACCGCCACTCATACCACCTTCGGGAAAGGGAATTTGGCCAGCTGAGGAGGAGAGGTGCGGCTCCCCTCGACCCTGCTGGAGCTCCTCCGTCTTCACCACCTCTATGGGGTGGCTTAGCCCCGAAGCCAGCTGGCTTGGGGCACTCCAGAGGCGAGCCCAGGCAGAAACCGAGCATGATCGCAGATTCCTGCCTGCCACCGAAGTCCTGCAAACCGGAGCTCACAAATAATATAGACTCTTTTCACCCTTCTCCGAACTCTGTTCCCAATCTCCACTCCAGCACCGCGCTAAGATGTTCCTCAGCTGTCCCAACTTTGTAGCATCCATCTTGGCGTGCTCTTCTCTCCATCGTGGCATAGAGAACAAGTTCGGGGTTTCTACAGGGGAGTTGCCTTCTCCCCCAGAACCTCACCAAGTGCTTCTTCTTAACTTCAGCGCCCCTCCAAGGCGGCTTTCAGCTCCGTACAGAGCCCACAAATGGCGAGAAGCCAGCGCAAGAACGGAAACCTTCGTTCGCTGGTTGTGGTCTCGTCACGACATCCACCGGAAGTCTGGCCAGGCTGAGCTTGAGGGAACCAAAGCGATCGGATGGATGCCCAAAGAGGCCGCCCCAGACCCCAAGGGGGCTTCCTTTGTCCTCTTCTCTGGCTTCTCTGGCTACTGGGCAACCCCTCCCTCTTTTGCAAGAAGCCATTTAATTGGAGGAGGGCTTCAGAGCACTCTGTTCTCTGGGGGAGGGGCTGAGAAATGCGCTGTCCCAGAAGGAGCCAATGAGCAGCTTCCTCTTCCAGGTTCAGCAAAGGAGGAAAGGGGACTGAAGAGCCCCATGGCAACCTCAGGGGAAACAACAGCCTTGGGCGAGCTGAGCCAGGAGGCCACCTGCCTGCTCTGCCTGGACTTCTTCGAGCAGCCGATGGTCCTGTCCTGCGGGCACAACCTGTGCCGCGACTGCTTGGCCCAGTTGGGCCCTGAGGCTTCCTGCCCCCAGTGCAGAGCCAAGGTGGAGCCCAGCAGCGCCTGCCCCAACCGGGCCCTGGCCAACATGGTTCGCCTGGTGAAGAAGCTTCGGCTGTCAGAGGGAGCCCAGGAGGAGGGCAGCGGCCAACGGCTGTGCCAGGAACACGGGCAGCCCCTGCAGAGCTTCTGCTCCCACGAGAAGAGCCTCCTCTGCCCCGGCTGCCTGGAGGGGCACCAGGGCCACCTGCTCCTCTCTCTGCCCGAGGCTGCAAAGGGGTACAAGGTAGGTGCCAACTCCCTGGGGCACTGCATCAGCTGTTTTGGGGGAGGCAGGCACAGGGGTCACCCCAAGTCCCCTGAACGATGGGAAGAGCTACCAAGTTAAAAAAATGGCAGAAGAGAACCGGGCTCTTTTGGGGCAGCGAGAGAGGAGAAGGTGGCGGAGACCAATTCTTACTTGCCCGCCTCCTTGTGGGTCCCTGCCTGCCCCTGAGGGCCCCCAGCAGGGGCTCTCCTTGAGCGTGGCACAGGGTCCCTGTGGCCCCCTCTGGGTGGGAGCGCTGCCATTTGGGACCCAGGAATGGCACCCTCTCCTCTGCACGCAGGCCATGCTGGATGGCCTCCTGGAGCCCCTGAGGAAGGAGAAGCAGAAGTTGCTGGAGCAGAGGCGGGTTGAGGAGCAGAGCCGACAAGAGTGCCAGGTGGGTCTCTTTTTTTTTTTTTAATAAATTTTTATTGTTTTTTTAACATGGAAAACACAACAACAAAACATAAAAGTATCAGCTCCCCCATATTTTTGTACACACAGTAAGTCGGTTGGTCCATCGGTTTTGTGCATTCACCTCATAGTCACAATTACAGTTACTTTATATAATACTCTTATCAATACAAATTTATAAATCCTAGTATCGCTATTAAAGAAAAAAAAAGAAAAATTTGACTAAACTTTTATTCGGTCATGCCTTTATGAGATAACTATATTTTAAATATTTTATTCTAAAACAAATCTTATAATCATACCAATTCTATCCCAAATATGAAAAAGAAAGAAACAAAGAAAACTATTATATAGATATAGTATCAAAAACCAATAAAAGGAAAGGGAAAATAAAGTCATTATTATTCCTTATTATCTAACTTTTATATTTTAATATTTCATCATTCAACCATTGATAGAAAAGATCCCAAACTAAATAAAATTGTTTATCTTCTTGCTCTCTAATTTCAAAAGTCAATCTACTCATCTCAGCACATTCCAAAATTTTCTTTATAACTTCTTCTTGCAATGGAATTTTCTCATTTTTCCAATTTTTTGCAAATACAATCCTAGCAGCAGTCAATACATTTACAATCAAATATTTCAACTCTTTACTATAAGTATCTGGTAGGATTCCCAATAGAAAAAACTCCGGTTTCAAGTCTATATGCTTCTTTGTCATTTTTTCCAGCCACATGTGGATTTTAGTCCAATATTTTCTAGCATCCTCACAAGTCCACCACATGTGATAGTATGAACCAGGTTTCTGATGACATTTCCAGCATTTTTCGGATTTGTTCTTGAACACTCTTGCTATCCTTGTCGGGGGAAAATGCCACCTGTAAAACATCTTATACAAGTTTTCTTTATAGGCTGTAGACATTGTCATTTTATAATTTTGCGACCATAATTTCTGCCATTTCTCTAAATCAATCCCATATCCAAAATTCCTCCCCCACGCAATCATAGTTTCTTTAACTTGTTCTTCCTCAAGCTTAATTTGCAATAAATAACCATACAATTTTTTAATCACCTTTTCATCAGTACCCATCAAAATCTTATCCAAGTCAGTTTGCTTATCATAAAATCCCTCTGCTTTGGAATCCTCATAGTACTTTGAATGTATTTGCAAATATGAAAACCAATTCATCTGTATACCTTGTTCTTCCAGTTTTTGCATCGATTTAAGTTCACCCTTTTCATCTAATAATTCCCCATAGTTAACTGTTTGTTCCTTTTTATAAATTATAGGATAAGAGAATGCTTCTATCGTCGATAACCAAACTGGAATTTTCAAATAACACTGTTTTTTTATCTTCTCCCAATTCAACCACAGAGACTCCCGTATATAATGTCTTCTAAAATACCCCTGTGTTTTAGTTCCCTTGTACCATAAAAAAGCATGCCAGCCCAACAACAAATCATGACCTTCTAATGTCAACAATCTGATTTTCCTTAATGTTATCCATTCTTTAACCCACGTCAAATTTGCAGCTTGGTAGTACAACTCCCAATTAGGCAGACCAAACCCTCCTCTAAATCTAGCATCCTGTAAAAGCTTTAACTTTATTCTTGCTTTCTTGCCTTGCCATATATACTTCAAAACAATTTTATTTAAATCCTCAAAATATTCTTTTCCAAGCCTAATTGGTATTGTTTGAAACAAAAATAAGACTCTGGGTAAAATGTTCATCTTGATTGTTGAAATCCTTCCTATTAATGACAATTGTAAGTTCTCCCATTTTTTCAAATCTTGAGCTATCTGTTGTTTAAGTTTAATATAATTGTTCTCCTTCAATGTACTACATCTTGATGTCAAATATATCCCCAGATGCTTAACCTTGTTTGTAACTTGAATTTTTAACAGTTCTGCCAACTCTTCCCTTTGTTTCAGCAACATATTCTTTGACAAAATCTTTGTTTTATCTCTATTTATTTTCAGACCAGCCACCTCCCCATAGACCTCTATCTTTTCCAACAGCTTCGAGGCTGTTTCTATAGGGTCTTCCAAGATAAAGACTAGGTCATCTGCAAAGGCTTGTAGTTTAAATTCTTCCTTTTTAATTTTCATTCCTTTTATAGTTTTATCTTCTCTGATATTTCTGTTCAACACTTCCAAAGTCAATACAAATATCAAGGGAGAAAGAGGACAACCTTGTCTTGTGCCTTTTCTTATATTAATAGGATCTGTAAATTCTCCCTCCATCATTACCTTAGCTGTTTGTTCATTGTAAATTGCTTCTATTGCCTGAATAAATCTTCTAGCAAAGCCCATCTGTTCCATTAAAAGTAACATAAATCTCCAATTCACGTTATCAAATGCCTTTTGAGCATCTAAAAATATCAAAGCCATTTGCTTTTCAGGATGCGCCTCATAGTATTCCAAGGTGTCCAGAATTACTCTCATATTGTCTCTGATTTGTCGCTTTGGCAAAAACCCATTTTGGTCTGGGTGGATAAAGTTATTCAAGTACCTTTTAAGTCTTTCTGCTAATATTGAAGCAAAAATTTTATAATCTGCATTTAGTAAAGAAATCGGTCTATAATTCTTGATTTGAAGTAGGTCCGCCTCCTCTTTTGGAATAAGTGTAATGTAGGCCTCTGACCATGTTTTAGGTATCATCTTTTTTAACATAACTTCATTCATAACTTCTAACAGTGGAATACACAGTGGTTCTTGAAAGGTCTTATAAAATTCTACAGGAAACCCGTCTGGACCTGGTGCCTTTCCATTATTTTGTTTCTTAAATGCTTGGCTTAACTCCATCATTGTTATATTGCTTTCTAGCATTTCTTCAATCTCTTTAGGTATCTTAGGTAGATTGGCATTCTGCAGGTATTGTTTAACTTTCTCCTCATCAATGTCTTCTTTCTTATACAAATGTTTATAAAAATCATAAATAATCTCTTTTTTTTCTTTGCTGCCATAACAAATTTTACCTTGGTCGTCTATTAACTGCGGTATTTTCCTCGACTCTTTCTCCTTTCTCAATTTGTATGCTAGCCATCTACCTGGCTTATTTGCATCCTCAAAATAATTCTGTTTAGCATTCCTAATTTTCTGTGCCAGTTCTTCTTTCTCTATTAAGTCCATTTTATGTTTAGTTATATCCAGTTTCATTTTAACATCTTTTCTGTGTGGCATTTTCTGTAATTCTTTTTCAAGTCCCTTATATTCATCATCCAAGGCTTTAAGAGTTCGCCTTTTCCTATTATTCTTTTTTCTTGTATAGTCTATTATCAAGCCTCTAACATAGGCCTTCATTGTGTCCCAAACATTCTGTATTGAGGTGTCTTCTTTTCTATTCTCTTTAAAGAAGAAGGCCAATTCTTTCTCCATCCATTGTATAAATTCCTTATCCTTTAAAATAGAATTATTTAATGTCCATCTCGATCTTTTCCTTTGTCCCTTCCATTCAATTGTCAATGGGTTATGGTCAGCCCAAGTACTTGTTTCAATATTTACTTCTTGAATACTAGACATTAAATCTGTTGAGATCCAAATCATATCCAGTCTGGACCTATTTGAATAGAACGTAAATTGCTTAGATTTATCATTTCTTTCTCTCCATATGTCTTTTAAAATTAATTCATCTATCATTTTAAAAAAGGATTTAGGAAGAGTTTTCCTGTTATGCTTTACTGCTGTTGCAATATAGTCAAGTTTATTATCCACAATTCCATTAAAGTCTCCCATCATAATTACATTAGCATAGTCAAGTTCGGCAGTCTTAGTATGTAATTTTCTATAGAATTCTTCCTGTTTATCATTCGGTGCATAAATTGCAATCAAAAGTATCTTTCTATTGTTGTCCATTATTTCTACCATTAATATTCTCCCATCATCATCTGTATAAATCATTTTTGCTGGAATGGCCTCTTTAATATATAAAACCACCCCTCTTTTCTTGGATTGTGTCAAAGAGGTAAACAATTTCCCTAATTTTGGTTGTAATAACAATTGTTCATGTTGCTTTTTAATATGAACTTCTTGTAAACAAATTATGTCGAACCTTAATTTCATTAATTTATGGAAAGTCTTCCTTCTCTTAGCAGCTGAATTCAGTCCATTTATATTCATTGTAATCAATTTTTTTTCTTCCATAATTATGTTTTATATTTAGATTTAACCACTCTCGTGGGTCTTGCCTCACGTTGATCTTTAATATCCACTTGTCCACCTACTGCACCTTCTTCTTTTCCAACCTCCATTTGTTCCTCTTGGGATTCAATTGATGGGACCTCCTTTCCTGCTCCTCCTTCTCTCCCTCCAAAAACCTCTGCACAAAACAGTTCTGCTTTCTCGATTGAATCAATTCTATGTCTCTGTTCCTGCCACGTAAACATCAATCCTTCTGGAATCAACCACCTGTAAGACACCTCTTTTTCCAATAACCTTTTAGTCAGGAATCGGTATTCTCTTCTCATCTCTCTCACTCTTCTAGGTATTTGTTTTAAAACCAAAATTTCTTTACCTTTGTATTTCAGTGGCTTCTCTCTTGCTGCTTGCAATATTTGTGTCTTCAAAGATTTTTTAATAAATCTAATATGAACTTCTCTGGGTAGATTATTTCTCATCGCATATCTTGTAAAAACTCGATATATCTCATCAATTCCATCCATCATCTTCTCTTCTGTTATCTCGAGCGCCTCCGCCAGAATTCCTACCATTATCGCAGCCAGATCTTGTCCTTTTTCTTCTTCTATATTTTGAAATCTGAGATAAAATTCTGATCTATCCAACTCCCACTTCAACATCTCACTTTTTTCTTGTTCAATCGCTGTTAATCTATTGTCGATATTTCCAATTTTCTCCTCTCTTTGTTTGCCTCCCTCTTCAACATTTTGGAGTCTCTCTTCATATTTTTCCATCATCTGTTCCATCCTACCTGTTCTTTGTTCAATAGTATCCATTTTTACCTTAAGATCTTGAATTCCTTGCATAATCATCTGGAAGGATACTCTTTCTTGTTCTTTTTCTTTCTCTTTATCTTGTTTTAACAATGTCTGAATTGAGCGCTGTCCAGATGGTGGGGAGGCAGAAGCAGACATAGAGGCACCCGAAGATATAAATTTCTTACTCATTTTAAGTGGTTCCAACTCTTCAAGTTTTTTCAAATTTTAATCCACAAAAAAAAGAGAAAAAAATATGAAGTTATAATCCAAGGTAAAAAGGCCAACAATAAAAAAGCCAAAAGTGAGAGAAAAAAAGAAAAAAGAAAAAAAAATTCTTCAAATTCTTCCTGACCTTAATCCAATAAAAAGAGAAAAAAAAACCATATAGAAAAGTAACAGTAAAAATAAAAACCCAATAATAATAATAAACAAGACAAAGCCAAAAAAGAAGAAGGGAAGAAGAAAAAGAGAAAAAAACAAAAAACAAAACAAAAACCAAGAAAAATAAGTTTCTTCAAATTCCACACCTTAGTCCAGCCAGAAAAAAAAAAAAAAAACCTCAATTGAGAAGAGGAAAAAGAAATAGTCCACTGATGTACATTAAAAAAAAAGGAAAAAAGAAAAAACAGGATCCAAATGGGCAAGAGAAAAAATAAAATCAGTTAAATCAAAATAAAATAAAAGTAGAAAAAAGAAATTCAGAGGCTTCCCTTTGCAAATAAATCAAGCTTAAAAGTAAGGACCTTGATGTTAATGGAGGGGTTGGCAGAACTCAAAAAAAGACAACAACACTGCACTCTATTTAAATATCCAAGGCTCTAATTATAACTCCCTTCTCTTTCCCACAAGCTTCAAAGCTGAGCCATGTATATCCAGAAAGACACCTGTAATAATATTCCACAAAGTGCTTTCCTCTATCTTATCAGGGGATGTCCTTGAGAAGAAGAGTCTGTTTTTTTTAAAAATATTTCCGAGCCTCTAGGTGGCAGTGTTACAAAGTATCATAGTTCTCACTTTCCCCCCTCCTCTCTTAAGGGAAAGCCGGCTTGCAATACACAAAACAGAAACACAAAAATCAAACAAAGTCAAGAGAAGCCTCTAGCCCAGAAAAAAAAATAAAAAGTCCAGAAGAAGAATAAAACATATGAATATATAAAAGAAAAAAAAAAAACAGTCCAGTTATCCAATAAATAACAATAGAGTCCGGAAGCAAAGAAAAGAAAAAAAAATGGATTCTCTCTTTGACGTTTCCCTAAAAAAAACGCCGCCAAGTCAATTTTGTCAAAAAAAAAACAAAAATCACACAGGTTTCTTCAGATAATTAGAGTAAACTTTCGAAACTCAAAAAATTAAATAAAAAAAAAGTTCTCACCCAACCGACAAACTCTTTCTCAAACTCTTTCCGTCTGGAGCCGCCCCGGCTTCAGCAGCATAGGGGCTGCCTCTCCGCCGCTGGCAAGAAGAGCTTCACCCGGGCTCTCCAGGGATTTTGCGGTATCCCCGGAGTCCTCAGGGTATGCTCTTCACGGTGGCTGTCCCTACGGGACAGCGTAGGTCCGTTGGACCGGCCGGTGGCGGAGATATCGGCTGCAATCGAGGAGCTCGATTGCAGACCGTATCGCCACGGCGCAAGCTCCTCCCATCTCCCCGAGTGCCAGGTGGGTCTCTTGGGGAGCGGGCAGGAGGCAGGTTCTGCGGCTGGGTAATCTCCCGCATCCCTCTGAGTCCCCCCTCTTCTTCTGCCCCCCAGGAGCTGCTTGCCGCGGAGAAGCAGGAGGTGAGCCTGGCGCTGGAGTCCCTGCAGGAGCTGCTCCGAGAGAGGCAGCCAGTCTGGCTGGGCTGCCTGGCCGAGCAGGAGGAGAAGATGGAGGCTGAGTGGGTGGTGGCCCTTGCCAAGCTCTCCGGGGAGGCCTCCCGCCTGCAGCAGCTGATGGCCCAGACGGAGGGGAAGTGCCGCCAGCCGGACGGGAAATTCTTGCAGGTGGGAGGGAGCAGAGAGTTCCTGGGTGGGGGAGGGGAGACCGGCCACCCTTACGAGGGTCAGCACCCATTTCTCTCTTCTCCTCTTTCAGGACATCCAGGACACCGTAGACAGGTAGGCGCCATCTTGCCCTTCCCCACCCCTGGCTTTGTGGGTCGGTTTGCGCCCAGAATTTCTGGGGTGGCTGCATCCTTTCAGATTTTGTGGCCGAGAGATGCTGGTCGTGGGGCCTTTGGTGCTCTCGGAGCTCGACTGACTTCCTGCAGATGTTTCGTTACCGAACTGTTTGGTCCTAGGCATCCCCAAAAAGCACTAAATCAATTCTGGGTCCTGGCAAAACCTCTTTTATTACATTAATGTAAATTTATTTCATTCACAGTCAGCCAACGGCTTGGCAAACTGTCTTGCAAAGCTTTGCTAATTAGCTCAGGCCTTATCAATCCTGGAACGCTGCCTGGTAAATAGTTCCACACTCAGTGCTGACAGGGAAGGCCTGGGTTATACAGAGAAATTTCCTGCAAAAGCCCCCTCCCCTTTTGCTTCTCTTTTCATCCGGATGGGAGGGGACATTCATTGTCTACCTGTGGCCTTACTCCCACGTTGACCCTGAGTTCATAATTGTTCCTTCCTTTTGGCAGCTCTGTGTATGCGCAGGCTGGGGACCGGTTCCACAAGCTCCCCCACCTCAGTGCTGTCCAAGGCTGAAGGTAGCTGATGACTGCCAGCCTGCCCTGGCCCCATCTCTGCCTCCGACCCAGAGCCGTCATCCGAACCTTCCTCAGCCTCCAAGACTGTCCCGCGTTCCTCCCCAACCTCCTCACTACTGTCCGAGTCTGTTGCCCGCTGCAACAGCTGCCAGCGGGCCACAACACTGACTAGGTAACACCATCAGTGCTGGGAGGGAGTGGTGTTCGCTCCCTCTTGATGCACAAGTAGGTTGCTCTCAGTTGAGCTGTTTATGCCTCAGTGGTTGCTCAGGCATTGTAAACAACTCAGATGAGGCACCGACAATGCAGACCGACAATCCAACAGCAAACAGCAGCCCAACCTGGGAGCCCCCAAGGAGAGAACGACGGTCCCAGCAATACTCTCAGGGGAAGCCAAGAGTGCAGACAGGCCTTGACCTCGTGACCACAGCTGAGATTTCTGTTACTAAGTGAGACAATCATTAACTGAGTTTTTTGTACCTTTCTCGCCACACTTTTTAAGCATATCGCTGCCGTTGATAGGTTAGTAACCTGGTTGTTAAGTGAAGCAGGCTTCCCCATGGGCTTTGGTTGTCTGATGGCCACGTGACCTTGGAATCCAGCAATGGTTATAAGTGTGAGCTCATTGCCAATCATCTGCATTTGGATCCTGTGGCCGTGGGGACACTGCAAAGGCTGAAACTCTGCAAAATGGCCGGAGGGCACTTTTTTCACTGCCGTAACTTTGAACATTCACAAGATGAGCAGTTGGGGGTTACCTATAGGTGAAAGGAGAGCAAACCACAATCCCCCGTAGCACTGATGATGTTGCTCAGTTGGGTAATGAAAGGTCTGCAAGAAAACAGCCGGTCCCCAAGGACCCTCGGGGGCAACTCTTCTCTTCTGCTGGAGCTTCGCTTTCTCCGCAGTCATTCGGACAATCCCCTGGGCAGACTGTCCACTTGGGGTGGAGGGAAGCGGTGGAAACTCAGTTGTTGCAGGAAACCTGGTTTCTTTGCTTTGGACCCCTTAGTCCTTGGTACAGTAAGATCAGAATCACACTGACGTTTGCGTTGAGTTTGTGACTTTTCTCGCTTCTGTACTGAGCTCTGCACTGGTTCAGTGTGCAGAGTCGGTTGCGATCAAAGCAACAAACAACGGTTGCATAGCAAACAAGTCAGGATTCATGGCACATGCCAAACTCAGGTTTGGAAAACCTGAGACCTGTACTCACCTGGCAAGATGCTGGAAAGGACCGGCTTGTTTCACACACCGCATGGCCAACCCAGCCCTCACCCAGCCCCCCTGTGTTGCGGGGAGGCAGCCGGGTACCTGTGTGAGGCCATTGTCAAGTCATAAAACATTTTGTATACACGTTTTATAGTTGCCAACAGAAAGAAGGGGGGAATTTCAAAGAGAAGGCGGCAGTGTGGAATCGAAAGTCCATTCCATTCATATTTGATTCTAAGACTGATTAGATGACTGAAGCTTCTGCCGCAAAAAAATCTAATTGGAGAGCATGATTGATGACTCTTGGCTATGGATGTTTTTCATTGGATGATAGACCCGGGGGTGGGCGGGGAAAGCAGGATCAAGGGTGACAGTGAATTACGTATCTCAGAGTTGGCTACACCCAGGTTAGTGCCGGACGTGGAATGTTACCTTCAAATAAATCCTCTTTAGCTTTGGGAGTGCGGCTCAAGGCTCATGATTTAATTGGAGTAACTGCCGGAACCCTGACAGCCGCCCTCCTTGTGTCACAGGTGCCAGAGTTACGTGGTAGGGCGCGTAGAGAGCATCTCTCCCAGGCTGCAAGGCAGACTCCGCACCCTCTTGGAGAACAACGCTTTTGTAAGGCAGACTGTGAATAATTACAAAGGTGAGGGGCCCTTTCAGGAGGGGGCTGGGGGTCTTGGGCCCTCAAGAGGAGCCCCAGGAGTTCTGGGCCCTCCTTCTGCCCCCCCCCTTCCAACTGGGGGATGTCAGGGGAGCCAGACCCAAACAGGCTCCATCCAACCTCTGGCTGGGTGAGGGGGGGGGGGGCTGCCACTTCCACCGATCACTCACCCCCCCCAACCATGCTCCTTGGGGTGGGGGTTCCCTGGGCACCTGGCAGGGACAGAGAAGCTGCTGCCAACAGGGTGGCTTCTGCTCACGGGCGTTGCCCGTGGGTGGCTGTTTCTCATCCTGGCCCCGTTTTTTTCCTTTCGTCCTCCGAATCTCAGCCTCTCTGCAGCGACATCTGACCACAGGTAAACCCCCTGGGGCTGGTGGGGGGGACGTCAGTGGGGGAGGGGCTTACAAAGACCACCAGGCCTCACAGCAGTGGTTTCCCACATCGCCAGGAGTGATGCCTGCCAGGAGGGGCTTCCTCCGTGGGGTGGAAGCCCCGAGTCTGGAGGGCCCCCAAAGGCAGCCTCTGGGGGAGGAGTGGGGTCCCTCAGAAGCCAGGCGGAGCTGGCCCTTCCCTGCCACCCCTTGGCCCTTCCAGGAAAGAGCCACGGGGGAGAGGGCGCTTACAGCTTCCCGGGCATAGAAGAGCCCAGCGGGGGTCTCGGTGTTGAGCTGGGCTTTGTGAGAAGTGGGGTGGGGGCCTTGGAGAAGCCCCTGATTTTAACTTCTATCCCTTCCTCCCCAGCACCTGCTGCAGGAAAGTCAAGATATCCTCAAGGTAACAGCACACGGAGGAAGAGGGAACGTTCTGTAGCGGGTGGAGTCCGTTGAGGGCAGCGGATGTTGGGCCTCCCCTGCCTGGCCAGGGCCCTTCCTGAACCAGCCTGCCAGGCACCTAGTAAACGGGGGACCCCTGACCTCGGGGCTCTGCAGCCATGAGGCTTCAGTGGCCGTGAGTGTGAAAAATGGTTGTAGGTCACCCTTTCAGTGCCATTGTAACTTCAAACCATCACTAAAGGAACAGTTGTAAGCCGAGGATGACCGGTGCCATCTCCAGGTGCCCTGGGGAATTGAAGTAAGCGCAGGGCCTAGGGTGGGTCAGACCCCCAACTGCCCACAACCCCCCAACTGCAGAGGCAGCCCCCACTGACCTCCGGCTGCAGAGACCTGCTGTACTTAGGAATTGGTCCCATTTTTTTGGCCAGGGGGCTTGCCAGCCACTGCATCTCTGGCTCCAGAGAGGGCCAAACGGCTCAGAAGCACCCAGCCCCGCCCTGCTTTGCCCTCCGTAGCCCAGAGTCATCAATCATGTTCTCCAGTTAGATATTTGCTTGGGAGAAACTTCAGTCACCTAGTTACTATCTCTAAAAAGCTAGGTGTGGAATGTACTTTTGGTTTCCAAACTGCCGCACTGCTCTTCCAAAGCCCTTTTCCCCCCTCCCTTTCTGTGGGCAACTCTAAAAAAGACCTTAGAAAGGTTTTATGAGTTGACACCCTGTTCTCAGCCCATCTTAAAAGAGTTTCTGTTCTCCGTCCTGCAGTCTCCGTCATTCCGAACGACTCAACTGCCCACCCCTGGCTCCTGTGCCAGGGCTTCGCTGTGACTTGGGCCGACAGATACCAGAATTACCCAGATGTGCCCGGGATGTTCAGCCGGGAATTCTGTGTCCTGGGCTATCAAGGATTCAACAAAGGATGGCACTGGTGGGAGGTATCCGTGAAGGAGGCGGAAGACAATGCCCTGGTGCGGGGTGCAGCATGCTGGGCCGTTGGGGTGGCCAAGGAGTCCGTCTGCAGGAAGGGGACCTTCCAGCTGAGCCCCCAGGAGGGAATCTGGGCCGTGGGGAGGAGTGTTAAAGGGGAGATGGTCACTTTCTCCAAGGTTCAGCAGAAGCTGCAGTGGTCAAGGCAGAGACTGCAGGTGAGCTTGGACTACGAGGCGAAAAAAGTGGAATTCCTGGATGTGGAGATGGAGGCTTCCCTCTACACCTTCCAGACGGGGCCCCTCCAAGGGGAGACGCTCCGGCCTTTTTTCTATCTGGGCCAGGAGGGGGTCACTCTTAAATGTGAGGAATATCCACTTCTAAAACGTCTTTAATCATTAATTAATAAACTATATTTAAAAAATAAAAAAATAAAAACTCTTTGGGACTGGTAGTCCTCAACTTACAACAGTTCACGTACTGACCAGAGTTGAGGAGCTCAGCCCCACCTCCTCGCGCCTTCATGGCCACATCTGGAAAGAGGACCAGATGGGGTCTCCCCTCCCCGCGCCATGCCCGACCTCCATATCCTTTTGCCGTCCTCAGTCCAGGCTGGTTGGGGGCTGCCAAGAGCTTCGTGGCTCCGACTGACCAAGAGGTGATGGGGCTCCGACCCAGTGATGCCTCCTGGCCCAGCTGAGTCCACTTGGTCCCTTGTTTGGGCAAGACCCTCCTGCCAGGTGCTGCATCCTTGTTGTGCGTTAACATGACATTGCTCAACCTGGGCTCCCGGGAGATGTGCGGACTTCAACTCCCAGCATTCCCAGCCAGCAGAGTTACCTGGGGAATTCAGGTGTTGGAAGGCCCTGCCTCCTCCAGGTGCTGCCAAGGTTGGGCATCCCTGCCTGACTCTGTGGCTCACAGTTTAGATGAGAGAGAGACATTTAAAGGGCCTTTATAATCAGTAAAAATGATACCTTAATACCTGCATGCGATTCTACATTTATGTTACTCTGAACTTATTAAAAACTTTTTAAAAATTTGTGGTATTCAAATTTTTTAACTACCGGTTCTGTGGGCGTGGCATGGCTTGGTGGGTGTGGCAGGGGAAGGATACCGTAAAATCTCTATTCCCACCCACTCCAGGGGAAAGGTTACCGTCGGTTCTCTGAACGACTCAACATTTCCACTACCGGCTCTCCAGAACTGGTCAGACTGCTGAATGCCACTTCTGGTGCAACAATGTTTATGTTTTATTTGTATCATTTATCTAGGCGATTTACAGACACTGAATAAGTTTTTAAGATTACCTTTGAAAGCGTCCATGACAGAATTACAAGTGAGTGGCAAATAATTTTAAAAGCTAGGCAGGCACTGTCAGTATATAAGAAATTAGGAGCTGGGATAGCCATAACAAGAAGTCAGCCAACGGGAACTGTTTGGTGAGTAAGAAATGGGATCTGTCGTTGCTAGGTCAGACAGCTAGGAGCCTGGGCGTGGTTTAGCTGGTTTCTCTTAAGAAGGAAGTTCTATGCTCACAGGTTGTGTCAGCTTTGTGTCAATGCTGCCACGTAGTTTGAGAAAGTGGGAGTGGAGTGATTTTAATTGAGTAGCTCTCAGGAGACAAAATGGAATTCTTTTGTTAGTTCAAGGCGATAAGAGTGTGGCGCAGGAACAAAAAGGAACTCACTTTGGGATTGGTTCATGTGATGCGATGATGACGGGAAAAGGGGATAGGCTGTAGTTTGGGATATTGTGGGAAGTCTGGGAAACTTTTAGTTTCGAGATGGAGACACAAACTATAACGGGTATGTTACAACCTCCAAGTCCTCCCCCCACACACCCAGAAGGAAAATTACCCCCTGCAGAAAGTATGATGAGGCCTCTGTGCGTTGACCTTGACATATTTTGACAAGGATTCGCAGTTGCGCAAAGGAAAGAAGGCTAAGCAAGGAAATAGAAACTTAAGAGCAAGAATTTATACTCCTCCCCCCCCACTCCTCATTTACACAACACAAGAATGTAACACCTCCAGCTCTCTTCCCAGAGATATCCCGCCTCCTCCCCCCGTTAATCATGGCAGCCGAAAGATGTAAAGCAGTAGAAAAGTAGAAAAGATCTTAAAGGCTGACATTCGGCCCTCCTAGAAAAAAGACGTTAGTCCTGTAAGAGAGAACAACATAAAAGCATTGATTAACAATCATACACATTTCTAGGGTTTATCAGGATACTTTGTGCGAAAGTCTTTGATCAGTTTAGGGGCTCTAACATCCTTCTCATTAACCCACTCAGCTTGGGAAGACGGAAAATGTTTCCAAGCTACGAGGTATTGGAGGCGATCCCTCCATTTTCGAGAGTCCAAAATCTCTTTAACTTCAAAGTGTTGTTCACCCTCAACCAGCAATGGTATAGGAGGATCAGTCTGGGTTGGTCTCAAGACAGAAGTGTGTTCAGGTTTCAACAAACAAACATGGAAAACTGGGTGAATTCGTCGAAGAGCTTTTGGTAGTGTCAATTGGACTGTCACAGGATTCACAATTCGTTCAACTGTGAAAGGACCTACATACTTAGGGCCAAGTTTCTTCGACTTCTGAGTAGTTTGTAAGTATCTGGTGGACAGGAAAACTTTGTCTCCCACTTGATAGGACTTCTGTGGGGCTTTCTTTTTATCCGCAAATTTCTTATGGGACTGATGGGCGTCATCTAACGCTTTGCGAGCAACTGCCCAGTTAAGCTGGAGTTGAGATATCCATTCGTCTAGTGATGGGATGTTAGGCTTTTCATGAGGAAGTTCAGGTATGGGCACAAAGTCTTGTCCTGACGCCACTTTAAAGGGGGTGAACCCGGTACTACTATGAACAGAATTGTTGTATGCCACCTCGGCAAACAGCAATAAGTCAGCCCAATTATCCTGTTGATAATTTATGTAACATCTGAGGGGAGATCCGGATAGGGGCTTGGGGGTATCACAAACCCCCTCCTCAGCCGGCTAAACTCCCTTTTCCCAAGGCGGTGGAGCGGCGGTCAGCAATGGCCGCCACAAAGAAGCCTGCAGCTGGGCAAGATTGTGCAGGAGGAAGTTGGAGAAAGTGAAAGTTTTTTGGCTGAACTGGGACAACGAGGAATCTCTAAATACCCTGGAAATTTAATCTCTTGAATGATACATTGTTTCCCAGAAAGACTGTAAAAGCGGCGGAAGAAAGTTTGAAAGGGATAGTTATTTTCTCTCACTCTCCTTCCCTATGGAAATAGCTGATGGAAATCTGAAAAACCTTTTTAGAAATGGCGATTTTCACCTTCCAGGAAATACAACAACAAGAAAGCTGGGATGATAAAGAAGAAGCCATCTTTAATGGACAAATAATCTTAGTTGAAGAAGAAAAGAGAAAGGGGGGGGAAAGAAAATGGAGAATTTAGAACTTCAAAAAGCAACCAAGAAAGGGAAAAATAAGGTGAAAAATTGATACAATGTCAGAAAGCAACAGAAAAGAGAAATACAACAGAGAGGGATGATTAAGAGAGTGGAGATTGAGAGATGGGGGGTCAAAAAGGCTAGAATTGATAAGAAAGGAAGGGGAAAAGGGAAAAGAAGTCATAAAGGTTTAAAACAAGATGTTAAAAAACAGGTTTTTTTCAGAGACAAAGGGTAAAATACAATTTTAAAAAAAAGAGATTCTGCAAAAGTACATAAGACTGTATTGTAGATATTAGTATTTGAAATCGAGTTAGTAAACTGAAATATTATATGAGTTAATAATACATTAAAGGGAATGTATAAAAATGTCTAAGATTTAATAATAGAGCTTAATTTTCTATGGAACATTGTTTTTACTATATTATAAGCTTATTTTTTTACTTTTGTTTTAATATTCCAAATGTAGTACTTAGAATGTACTAAGCAGAATCAGTATGGAAAGTATGTATTATTTTAAGTGTTAAATTTAGGGGAAAGATAAAAAGTTGTCATACTTCATCCAGTGATTACAGGAGAAATATTGTATTAGAAAGAAAAGATAAATAGATAATTGAAAGAGAACGGATAAAAGATGCAAGCATAATTATCTAAGTGAAGATGAAATAAATAGAATTAAGAGACTGAATAGAAGAGAGAAAATATATAGAAAATATAGAATGTTAAATAAGATATGAAATAGTATATTAGGTGAGCATGAATTTGATTTACGCCTGTACAAAAAGATCTAACCCGGGGCTAAGCCGCTTTCCAAAAAGAAGTTTTATGTATTTATGTTTTGTGTTTTATTTGTCTATGTTTGAATTAATAAAACTCTAGAAGAATGTTGGAAGAGAATAATGAAATTGCAAATAAGACAGATGGTTACTGTTCTGTATTAACATTCTTGTAGACTCGCATTCTGATTGGTCCACCCAGACCACAACCCGATTGGTCCACTGAATGACTGTGATTGGAGCACTAAGAATCTACCGCGATTGGCCGAGCCGATCGCGGGAGATTCAAAGTGCTGCTATTGGCCGCCGAGCCGCCGGCTGGCTGTATAAAGCCAAGCGGCTCGCACACTTTAGCTGTCCTTGCTCTGAAGCTACAATAAAGAGCTGATTGTTCACTTTCGCGTCTCGCCTCTTATGTGACCCGATCCACCAATCTAACACTGGCGACGAATGTGGGATCGTGAGGCGAGGACCAACTAACACGTGGCAAATGGCGCTCAACGACCAGCAAGATGGCCAGCACCCTGCCGCCCACTCCGTTCGACCCAGCAACCGAAGACTGGGAGTCATACATCGATCATTTCCAGATGTTCCTGGAATGCAGCAACCTCAAGGATGCCAACGGCCAGAGGAAACGGGCAGTATTTCTAACACACTGTGGCCCCACGGTATTCAAAATGGCCAAGGCACTGGCAAAGCCCACCGACGTCAAGGAGATGGACTGGGCTGACCTCGAGCCCATCTTGTGCCGCCATTACGCCCCTACCGTGCCCATCCTCATCCGTAGGCACGACTTCTACCGCTGCAATCAGTGCGAAGGCGAGACCAACGGCGACTTCGTGGCTCAACTGCGGAACCTGGGAGGCCCCTGCGAATTCCCCGACCTGGACCAGGCACTTCGGGACCGAGTCGTCCTCGGACTCAGAGACCCCATGCTGCAGAGCCGGCTGATGGCCAAAGGCAACATCTCCCTCACCGACGCCCTCGCCGAGGCTACCGCCGCCGAGGCCACCCGCCAGTCAGCAGCCCGGATGAGACAAGCCAACACGACTGAACGGCCACCGACCAATGAAGCGACCTCAGCCACCGTGAAGCCCGGGGAAGCCAGCCGCCGAGAAACGACCACGCATCATGGCGACTTCGAACCCCAATCCAACACCGAGGACGAAGACGAGGAAATTCATCGGCTACAGACCGAGCGCGACCGCCGGGACCGCAGGGGACGTAAGTTGGGTTTCCACTGCGCCAGCTGCGGCGGCGATCACCCCCGCTCCGAATGCCATTTCCTCGACGCCATTTGCCGGCATTGCGAGAAGCGGGGGCACATCGCCAAGGTGTGCCGGAACAAAAAGAGCTACAGCCCGCAGCGACGAGGAAACAGCTCACGACGAAAAGACAGCGCCCCCCCCCAGACACCGAGACCGCCTGACCGAGAGCCGGTGGAGCCGCGACAACCGCAGCAGACGACTCAGCGAAGCACAGCGGCGCGAGGAAACCCACCAGACGGTCGTCATCGGCCATTCATCAACCATGGACGCCTGAAAGGTACACGTGGCACTGTGCATCGAGGACCAGCCCTGCGAGATGGAAGTGGACTCTGGGTCCTACCTCTCAATGGTCTCTTGGCGCACAATCAAGTGCCTAGTCCCGACCATCCGCCACAACGAACTAGACGACCAGAAGCTAATCCTGAAAGACTACCTGGGAAACCGCATCCCTGTGGCCGGCATCGGGCATTTTAAGGTCACATTCAAGAACCACACCGACATCTTGCCACTCACAATCATGGACCGGGACCGCCCCAGCTTGCTCGGTCTGCAATGGTTCTCCCCGCTAGGCAT